TGTCCCCGGCCTCCCGAGAGCCCCGGATGGAATGCAGGCTCTCTGTAGCTCCAGCCCACCGCCGTGGGGTCGCACGGCGATCTCTTTGCACACGCACTGTGCGTGCAAGTTCCCCCGCCCCAGCCCACGTCGGAGCCAGCGCACAGGGGCACGTGTGTGTACACACACACACACACACACAGGCAGGGGCGGACACCCCTCCCCCAACCAGGGCTCCATCCTGCATGGCTCTGAAGCTTCCAGAATGGGGGTACAGACGGGCTAGAGAAGCGGGGGTCACCTGTGTCTCTGCTGCCTCCCCCCCACTTCTTGGAAGGCACAGCTCTGCCTTCCGCAGGGGTGAGCGGACGGTCTCTGGGCCCTCAGAATTGCACAGAGAAGCCAAGCCGGGCTCCCCCAAATCCCAGGACCCAGCAGAAGAAGAGAGCCAGCCCACACGGCCCGTGGACCGTCCCCCCTCCCCGCCCCGGCCACGTGAGGGGCAGAGACCTGCCAGGGGCAGAGACCATGGGGGGCACGGCCTGGCCGGTCAGGGCCGGTTCAGGAGGTGTTTGCCCCCCCCCTGCTGCCCACGCTCCACTCCCACTCGCGTCACAGCCAGCCTGGAGCGCGTCTGAGGCGCGCTGGCTTTTCTCCTTGGGGCCTGAGCCAGGCAGGAGGCCCAGAGAGCACTCAGCTGGGCTGGATGACCTGGTTTCTCCCGCGTGTGTGCGTGCGTGTGTGTGCGTGCGTGTGTGTGTGTGTGACCCATGCGTCATCACCATGTCACCCAGCGTTTATTTCTGGCCCTGCCTCTGACAGCCAGACCCCCGTGACCCACGGCTGATTTGCTGTCTCCTTCCCGGCCACGTGCTCCCCCCCCCAGGTGTCTTTCTGTCAGAGTCGGGGGGGGGCCTGTTGGGGTGAAGTGGCTGATGGGGCGCTGCCCTTGGCCGGGGGTGGGGAGGACAGGAGTGGGTGGGTTTGACGAAGGGACTGAAGGAAGACCAGAAACGAGGACTAGGAGTCAGGTTGTGAGGGATGGAGGAGGGAGGGAGGGAGGGAGGGATGGGGACAGCTGTGTATATCTACGGGGTCTGGGGACGGTCCCCCGGGCCAGGGGCCTCCCACTGGCGCCCTCCCTCCCCGGCCAACGGGCACCACCTGAGCTACTTCCCCGGGGAGGGAGGGGCTGGCCCTGGGTGGCAGGAGGGGGTCCCTGCTGGGGCGGGGGGGTTAAGGTGTCTCAGAACCCCTGAGAACCAGGAGAGGGTCCCCCCCCCGGGGAAGCAGCTGGCCCTCCCTCCTCTCCGCTGGGGATGCCAGAATCCCCAGCCTCTGGAACTTTCCTTCTCAGATCACGGTAGCCTGAGGCTGGGACCCTGGGCAAGGCCCCCCGCCCCCTCCCACAGCGTCCAGCTCTCCCGAGGTTGAGAGGACAGCGGAGTACTGACCCGTCCCCCCAGACCCAGGCACCCCAAGGTGGTGCCGCCCCCTCTGCTCTCTAGGCCTTACTCTAGGGGGGACCTGAACCCCTTCCTCCTGCTCCGTGCACTCGGCCCCAACTCCAGAACCAAGAGCGGGAGTTGGAGTTAGCTTTCCTCATGCTCTGTGCACTCGGCCCCAACTCCAGAACCAAGAGCGGGAGTCGGAGTTAGCTTTCCCAGCGGATTTGGGGGGCTGGTTCCTTCCAGGTGAAGCAGAGCCTGGCCCGGGTGTCTGCGAGGGGTCCCCCCCACGTGTGCCCCCTCCCCCCGCCCCGTCCCGGGCCTCCAGGCCGCTCTGTTCCCAGTAGGTAGCCCCAACAGCCACTCCTCCGTCCCTGTCTGTCCCCAAGTCTGTCCGGATGTCCTTCTTGCTGTCCCTGTCCCCCCTCTCCAGGGAAAGGCCGGTCGGCCGCGCCCAGCGACGAAACCCAAATGGCAAATATTTTGTAACAAAATAGCCCAGAGGTATTTTATCTGTTCAATTCATAGAGTTTTAGAGATTATATTGAAATATGTCACTTGAGCAAGCCATGCGTGTGGTGGTGTACTGCCGTCCTGGATGGGGGAGGCGCCGCCCCCCCCCGCCCCCGCCCGCCCCCCCAGGATTAGAGCCTCTACCCGGCAGGGGGGCAGGGGGAGGCGCTGCCCCCCCCCCCCCCCCCCCCCCCCCCCCAGGATCAGAGCCTCTACCCGGCAGGGGGGCAGGGGGAGGCGCCGCCCCCCCCCCTCCCCCGCCTGCCCCCCCAGGATTAGAGCCTCTACCCGGCAGGGGGGCAGGGGGAGGCGCCGCCCCCTCCCAGGCCACACAGTCAGAATTCTTTATCCCCAGGAGAGAGCACGGCTCAGGATTCAGGACCCCTGGGGTACCCTCCATTTGGCGAGTGGGGGTGCGGGCTGGGAACCTGCCCACAGGTGTGGCCTGCCCTCACCTCCCCAACACCCGCACCCAGAGCCAGCCGCTCACCAGGGAATTGGGAGGGGACAACAGCCAGCCTGCACCTGGGTGCCCAGGGCTCAGAGCCGGGCCAGCCCCTGCCCCCCCCCCGCCCTTGCCGGGGCCCAGTCCAGCACCCCCCGATGTGACTGTCACTGGATGTCAGACACCCAGCCTAGGCGGGCACCTCCCGGGGGATGGGGGTGGGGGGGCAGGCTCTCAGGAAAGGGGGGAGGGGACATGGCTGGGCACCGGGCCTGAGCCTCAGGACAGCCGCAGCCATGCGCATGCAGGAAACCTCCCCCCCCCCCCCCCCCCCCCCCCCCCCCGTGCTGTCACAGAAGGAAATTCCAGAAGCACCAGAGGCCGGCAAGGACTGGTCCCTTCCTGGGAATTCCCTGACCTAAGAAGCTGGGAACCGGCCCCCAGGGCCCTGCTGAGGGCACAGGCCAGGCCCAGCTTGTGGGCCCAGGCCGACATGGCTCCTCAGCCCTGGGGGTCGGGGTGTCCAGGAAGGGCAGGGGCGTGGTCCTGAGGCCATCCCAGTGGGGTGGGCATGCTGGGGCCCCTGGGACCCCGGGAATTTTTTTTTGCCAGTCCTGGGTCTTGAACTCAGGGCCTGGGTGCTGTCCTTGATCCTCTCAGTGCTCAAAGGGAGCACTCTACCCCTTGAGCCACAGCGCCACTTCTGGTTTTCTGAGTGGTTCATTG